TTGCAACCCCCCTTCTTGCGACCCCCACTTGCCGTCGCAAAAAGAAAATTTACCGTCGCAAATAGCTTTTGAGACGACGTTTGGATTATTTGCGACGGCGTTTTGCCGTCGCAAAAAACAATTTTTTTTTGTAGTGAGATGAGGAGGAAATCACAGGGATCTTCTTCACAGTCAAAGGTTTTGGTTGCAGAAATGAGGGGAAGAAGCAAGAGCAGAGGTTCGAAGAACAGAGATAGAGGTAGAAGCAAGTCTAACAAGTTTGCTAATGCTAACTGTTATCATTGTGGGATGAAAAGGCACATCAAGAAACACTGCAGAAAATTAAAGAAAGAGAACAAGGAGAAAGGGATTGAGCATGATGGAAAGGATAATGATCAAGTTGCCACTGCTACTTCCGAAGACTTTCTCATTGTTTATGATGAAGATGTTATTAACATAGCATGCCATGAGACCAATTGGGTGATTGATAGTGGTGCCTCTATTCATGCTACATCTCGAAAAGATTTCTTCACATCCTAAATACCTGGCGACTTTGGCTCGATAAAGAAGGGCAATGATGGCTTGGCCAAAATCATTGGTGTTGGAGACGTGCACTTGGAGATGAATAATGGCACGAGGTTGGTTCTTAGAGATGTAAAGCATATTCCTGATATCCATATGAATTTGATTTCTGCAAGTAAACTTGATGATGAGGAGTATTGCAACACTTTCAGTAATGGTCAGTGAAAGCTCACTAGGGGTGCTATGGTTGTGGCTCGAGGCAAGAAACATTCTACTTTGTACGTAATGCAGGCAAGGCTCCCCAAAGAAGTTATTAATGCAGTGAATGATGAGTCTACAATGGAATTGTGGCATAAAAGGCTTGCCCACATGAGTGAGAAAGGCCTGGCAACATTGGCTAAAAAGAATCTTCTGTTTGGAATGGAGAATGCACTTTTGAAAAGGTGTACTCACTGTTTGGTAGGAAAGCAGAATAAAGTTTCCTTCAAGAGTTCCCCTCCTTCAAGAAAGCCAAATATACTTGATTTGGTATACTCAGATGTTTGTGGTCCTATGAAGACAAGAACACTTGGTGGCTCTCGTTACTTTGTGACCTTCATAGATGATCATTCAAGGAAGTTATGGGTCTACACTTTAAAAAGCAAAGATCAAGTGTTGGAGACTTTTAAATAGCTCCAAGCCTTAGTTGAGAGACAGACTGGGAAGAAGCTCAGGTGCATCAGAACAGATAATAGGGGAGAGTATTGCGGTCCTTTTGATGATTATTGCAGAGAACAGGGTATTCGACATCAAAAGACACCCCTAAAGACTCCTCAGTTGAATGGTTTAACTGAGAGGATGAACAGGACACTAGTTGAAAGAGTTAGATGCTTACTTTCACAGGAACGGTTGCCAAGATCTTTTTGGGGTGAGGCTTTGAGCACAGTTGTACATGTTCTTAATCTCACACCATGTGTTCCTCTTCAGTTTGATGTACTACATAGAGTTTGGATTGGCAAGGATGTTTCCTATGATCACTTGCGTGTCTTTGGATGCAAAGCATTTGTTCATATTCCCAAAGATGAGAGGTCTAAGCTCGATATGAAGACCCAACAATGTATTTTTCTAGGCTATGGCCTAGATGAGTTTGGCTACAGGTTATATGATCCAATTGACAAGAAACTAGTGAAAATCCGAGATATTGTGTTTATTGAAAATCAAACTATACAAGATATTGAGAAAGCAGAGAACACAATGTCCTGGCATAGTAATGGTCTAGTTGACTTGGATCCGGTTCCTCTGACAGATTTGCCTGCACAGGTTAAACATGATGTTCAGAGTGACCAACAAGGTTTAGGTGATATTGATGACCCCTTACAGGCTGAGACAGGTGATGAGACTCTTGAGCAGTTGGCAACACCGGAGATACCACCAGATGTTCCAAACATGAGGTCAGCTAGAGACCGACATCCTTCCACTTGGTATTCTGCAGATGACTATGTGTTAATGACTGATGGGGAAGAGCCCAAGTGTTATGCAGAAGCCATGGAAGATGACCATAAGCTGGAGTGGGCTAATGCGATGCAAGATGAGATGCAATCATTGCATGACAATCACACTTTTGAGTTGGTGAAGCTGCCTAAGGGCAAGAGAGTTTTAAAGAACAAGTGGGTGTACAGGGTGAAACATGATAAACTCACTTCACAACCACGATAAAAAGCTAGACTAGTTGTTAAAGGGTTCAGTCAGAGAAAAGGCATTAATTTTGATGAGATCTTCTCACCAGCTGTAAAAATGTCTTCTATTCGTGTGGTTCTTGGCTTAGCCGCTAGTCTAGACTTAGAGATTGAGCAAATGGATGTGAACGGGATGACTGGAGCAACAGGTGGTGCGGTAGGGGGTATAGGAACAGGGGGAACTCTACAATTAGCAGCTGGTTGTTCAGTTCCAAGAGCATTGACACTTCTTCTCTTAGGTGTCATCTCTTAACCTTCAAAACAAAATTAAGAAAAGTTCAACACAAGCTTAAACAAAACTAACTTAACTAAACACTACTAAGGACTATAGGGACTCGGACCTCGTCTAAATGATGAAATGCAAGTTATGTAACTCGATAAACCATAGCTCTGATACCACAATTGCCACACCCCAAATCCGGGCATGACCGGCCGTGGCCCACAGGGACTTAGCCCAAGGCACACGTAAGCCTAAACACGAATCCAATCACATTGAACAACTGAACAATAGTCTAATAATAAATAACCAAAACTCAATCCAGACATGTCACAATTATAAACGGAAAAATCAACCGTAATAAAAAAAATCATCCAAACTTATGGGATATAAACAACCCACCTATCAAAAATAATCTTAAATGAACTTCGATAAGAATAAATATAAATATGCACAAATTTGACATAACACTCTAAACTAAAGGAATGCCCTAGAGGTCCATGCAATTGAGTCCCCGCTAGGCCATGAGTCCACTCTAAGCCCTTCTAACACCTGGAAATGGTAAACAACTAAGTCAGCTGATAGCTCAGTGAGTAGCAACATGGATAGTAAATACAGTTTTGAAAACAGGGTTCAATTCCAAAATAAGATATATATCACAAAAACTAGATTGGCATACAGTTTGGTAAATACAACATGTTTCAAAAAGAAGGTTCCACAATTCAACACTTAAAATACTCATGTCTCGCAAGAACATGATAAACGACATGTTCCACTTAAAACAGATTATAACATGAACACCAATAAATTTTCTGTGTACCAATAAGAACAAATAATCTGCCACACATTTCTCAGGCTATAAGCCCCGTTGGATCCAATACCGAACTAAGAGTCATCCTCAGGGTGGCACCTGGGCCTTTTCTCAAAGACGATCCGATTGAAAGTCACCTAGTTATTTTTAAAGGTCTTTTCCTTACAATCGTTGAGCACTAGAGTCATCACGGCCCAACCCGGATCTGTTCCCTAGTGGCCAGAGTCACCACACACAGTGGAATAATTTCCCTGGACTAAATACACACATGGTCCCAATAATCAATACACATCAGTTTCGCAAAACATGGTAGTTCATCATTATAAACATGAGACCAAAACAAATAGTTTACAGTATGCCAAGTTCACACATGTTTCAGAAACAATTTGATTCAATTGATAATATAATAATTTATCAAAACAGTTTAATCATGAAACAACAATTTAATTTTACAACAGTTCAGGGTAGGGGAACATTTATAAAAATATGTAGCAAGAAACTACTCACCTGAAACGAAATGATATAATCCTTGAATCGAATAGAGTGTAAAAGTCCAACTAGTGGCCTGAACCAAGTATAAAAAATAACAATGCATGTTTGTTTTGTGGATTTCCAAGAAACAGCAGCGCCTCCTAGAGTAAAGACATATCCATTTGTGGATTTTGAATCTTTAGTATCCGATATCCAATTTGCATCGCAATAACCTTCAAGTACTGCTGGATATCGAGTAAAGTTCAAACCATGATCACGGGTGAATCTTAGATGTCTAAGAACCCGAATGATCGCTTTCCAATGGTCTTCTCCGGGGTTACTAGTGTACCTACTCAATTTACTGATAGCATAAGCTATATCAAAACGAGTACAATTCATTAGGTGCGTTAGGCTTCCAATGATTTGAGAGTATTTTAACTGAGACACCGCATCATCTTTATTTTTCGATGAATAAAGACTAATGTCTACAGGTGTTCTTGCTACATTTATATCATCCTTCATAAATTTACCAAGAATTTTCTCAATATAATGTGATTGAGATAATGCATATCCGTCAGATATTTTAGTAAT